ACACACACACACACACACACACACACACACACACACACATGCACATACACACACATATATATATACTAGCTTGGATACCCAGCGTTGCCCGGAGAAAAGCGCGTAGGAAGAAGTTGTATAACAAATTGTGGCACATATATTTAGTAAATTCTAAGGATAAAGTCCAACAGAGAAACAAAATGTGAAGAGATAAACAATTTTCTAACAAAAACAGTTTGAATGATTGTATGCAGGCCAAGAGATATATATGCATATAATGTATATATATATATATATGACATACGACTACTCTAGCGCTGCTGCAAGGTTTCTAACCTCTATTCCAGTCATGCACTCGGCTGCTCTCGCTGCTCTGCTGATGCGTCACCATGACAACGCTGCCGTACAAGACGTGTTGCAACGCTTGGACAAGGACGTGCTAATTGGCACACTCGTATATAGTGACCCAGCCACAGGTCAGCTCTCTGTCCCTTCCCCGCATCCTCTTACTTCTTTCTTCGTTACCTTCCCTTCCCCGCATCATCTACCTCCTTCCTACTTCCTTCACTACCTTCCCTTCCCCGCATCCTCGAACTCCTCCTTCTTCCTTCGCTATCTTCCCTTCCTTCTCCATTTATATCTACTTTCCCCTGCTTCTTCTTCATTCTATACCTCATTCCTCTCTTCCTTCTTCCTTCTCTACCTTCCCTTCCTTCATGGATAGCAACCTTCCCCCTGCTTCTTCTTCCTCCTCTGCCGTTAATTACATAGAAACAGAAGTAGATAATAGGGATTATTCCCTATTATTTATATTAGGGATTATAGGGATAATTCCCTAGGGATAATATATAGGGATTATTCCCTATAATTCCCTATTATCTACTTCTGATAGAAATAATACTAGCAAAACATTACTTAGGTAGACTTAGTGTGTCTCAATATATTGCTATGATTAAATAGAACCATAGACTAAGAATATCCTAACGCAAAAGGTATTCTTAATCTATAAAGAACCGCATTAACGTGATAGGTAGTCTTTTCATGCTTCGCTTCCGGGACCCCGGTTAGCCAATCCAGGGTCGATGAGAAAGCGACGCCGCCACATAATACTACTCTACTAAGCTGTATATAATAACTGTTATCATATACAACTCACCGATATATATATATATACTATAAATATATACAGCTTAGTGATTAGTATGTAGAAATCAGTTAGAAATAGAACGGCGTTAACACGATCGTAGGTTCGTTCGTCTGCTTCACGCTTCGTGTCACGTGACAGGCGGCCATGGATGGTACCCGCTGTCGTCAAAGACGCGCCGTAACGACGACGGCAGCATACAGCTGATTAAGTACGGATCGTGGTCGACGAGCGCCGGATTCGCCGACTTCTACGTCGCTCAGGCGGCCAGCCCGGACTTCGACGGAGACTACTCTAATCTGTCCGTCTTCCTCGTGTTCAAGGTAAGTGCGGGTTGATTCATATATATCTATGCTTGTATTTATATATGTACATATAATATATATATATATATATTTATTTATTTATATATGTATATGTATATGTAAATGTATATATAATATAATACTATATATATAATGATATATGTATATGTATATGTATATATATATATATGTGTGTGTATGTATATGTATATGTATATATATATATATAATATATATATATATATATGTGTGTGTATATGCATATTTATGTTGGTATGTGTGTTAGTTTCTCTTATTCTTCATGCTCTCTGTTCTTGTTCTCTTTTTTCTTTATCATCATCATCTTCTTCTTCTTCTTTTTTCTTCTTCTTCTTCTTCTTCTTCTTTCTTCTTCTTCTTCTTCTTCTTCTACTACTACTACCACTACTAACTACTACTACTACTACTCACTAACTACTACTACTACTACTATTACTACTACTTCTTCTTCTTCTTCTTCTTCTTCTTCTTTTACTTCTACTATTACTACTATTACTACTACTACTTCTTTTTCTTCTTCTTCTTTTTCTACTTCTACTATTACTAATATTACTACTACTACTTCTACCACTTTTTCTTCTTCCTCGTCTTTTATTATTATTATTACAAATTATTACTAATTTATTATTATTGTATTAATTATTATTATTGGCGTATCTCGCTGCAGGATGAGATCCGTGCGAACAGCGACGATTGGCAGGCGCTTGGTATGCATGGCAACCAGTCCAGCGCCATGATACTGGAGGCAAAGCTACCAGCTGGTCGTGTTGTCGGTCCGATAGGTAAGACATGGGAGGGAGGAGAGAGAAGCGGAGGAGAACGAGAGGAGGATGGAGAGTGAGAGGGAGAGAGAGAGAGCAAGAGAGAGAGAGAGAGAAAGATTCACACGCCACGCACGCACGCACGCACGGCACGCACACACACATATATATATATAATAAATTATTCTCTCCACACATTGACGGTCCGGCAGGCGACGGAGCGATCTCTAACGACGAGGTCGTTGACGACCATTCTCTTACATTCTGATTCCGCCGTCTGGAACGGCAATCGCCATGGGCGCCATGGACGTCCGCAAGCGACACGTCGTCCGGGAAGGAGCACGGAGACACAGCGCTGCGTGTCGCCGACTACGTGACGATACAGGTAAGCGCCGGTCAAGGTCACGTCAGGGTCACGTCAAGGTGGCGCCAAGGATGGAAGGATAGATGGATGAATTTGAGAATCTGTGAATGTGTGAATGAATGAATGAATAAATGAATGAATAAAGGAAGGAATGAATGAATGAATGAATGAATTGATTAATCAGTGAGTGAATAAATGTATGATTGAACGAAGAATGAATGAGAAATAACAAATAAAGTAAAGAAAGAAAGAAAGTAGAAAAATCCGAATAAATAAGAAACAAATGAAATAAAATAAATAAGTATATAAATCAGGCCCGTAGCCAGGGGGTTCGGGGGTTTCGAACGAACCCCCCCGGCGGCCCCAAGCCAAAAATTTTTTTTTTTGAACATTTGCTATAATTTCACCTCAGGTCGCTCTATTTTTGTGTAATAATTGCAAAATCTCCATCGTGCGGGAGCGTGAACAGTGAACACCCCCTCCCGCACCCTCCCCCCGCTCGGTCGCTTGGCTCCCTCGCCTGGTCGCTTCGCGCCCGAGCAGGGGCGTGTACAGGGGGGGGTCCAGGGAGTCCGGACCCCACCTTGCTCGCGCAGAAAACGCATCTGAGGGGGTGTAATTTTAAAAAATTTAGCCCCAGACCCCCCCTTCGCGTGCTCGCAACTTCGGGTTACGGTTTAGACCCCCCCTGGTACAAATCCTGTACACGCCCCTGCGAGGCAAATTGCCAACATTTAAAAACGAACCCCCCCCAATACAAAGCTGGCTACGGGCCTGTATAAATAATGACCTACAAAATTGCTAATAAATTAATTGTATTATTTACTTAACTGAAATAACTTTATCTAATTTAACTTAGTTTTTTCAATATAAATAGCTATAACTATACATTGTTACGCGCATCATTCTCTAGGACTATTTCGGCGACTGTCTTTCGGAGACTAATGCAAGTCGAGCGTTCACCACTGCCATGGCAACGGGCATGGATAATGTCACCAACAACTGCGACTGGAGCATTCATAAGGACCTCAACGTTAGACCGAGGTAAACTTAGAGTAAAATCGCATACTACATAATATTATACTAAAAATAAAAAGTAAAACTAATAATAATAAGTAAAAAAATAATAATGCAATTCTTCTTCTATAATATAAGTAATTAATAATTTAATTTTTATGATAAATAAATAAATATATGTATGATTATTATAATTATAATCTATAATTATAATGCAATAATATAATAAAAATAATACTATATCATATTGATCGTATTGTGCTATATTTTATCATATTGTTATAGTGTCAATCATTTCAAATAATATCAGATATGTTTGAGCATAACTATGAGCATATCTTCCCAACCTATATGTCTGGGAAATTTTACCGTTGCCCGAACAACCAGGCATTAATAACATTAACAACAACAACAACAACAACAACAACAACAACAACAACAACAACAACAACAACAACAGCAACAATAATAATAATAATAATAATAATAAAAATAATAATAACTATAGTTATAATAAGCTCCAATAATAAAACAGAAAGGTTGCGACGATGTGGGGTTATCTCCTACTAAATATATATATATTGTCATCATTGTCATCATTGCTCATTGTCATCATTGTCTTCAATGTCTTCATTGTCATTATTGTCATCATTGTCTTCATTGTCATCATTGCTTATTGTCTTAATTGTCATCATTGTCATCATTGTCATTATTGACAACCGCATTTTTTCTCGTTGGTATAATGGCTGGCTCCCCTTGGCGTACGGCCGCGCCCCCTGGGGGCCCTGTAATATATTAAATCAATTGCAGGACGGAGGATTTTTTTCAAGTGGGCTGGCAGACGAAATACGTCGCTGCCAGCAATGTCACCAAGGTTGTTGACAAGATGCTGCATGCCTGCGGGGGACGGGTTACAAGCTAGAGCTGGGTACGTGTGTGGGGGGATGTGTGTGTGTGTGTGTGTGTGTGTGTGTGTGTGTGTGTGTGTGTGTCGTTGTTTGTTGTTACTTGTGTGTGTGTGTGTATTGTGTGTTGGTGTGCGTGTATGATAATGTATGTGTGTTATGTATGTATGGTATGTAATGTATGTGTGTGTGTGTGTGTGTGTGTGTGGTGTGGTGTGTGTGTGGTGTGTGTGTGCGTCCGTGGGCGTGTGTGTGTGTGGGTGGGGTTTTGTATACGCCGTTACTAAACGGTTATACCGAACCGAGAACCAAAAGAGATCAAGACCGTCGAATGGATCGAATAATCGATAAATACTCCTCGTTATGACCTCGCTGCAGGGCACTGAGCGAGACTCGTAGCGAGATGGCAAGGCCGTACATGGGTGATGGGCCCTAGCAACACGGCAGGTGTTGAAGAGCCTGGATAGGTACAAACAATGTCTGCTGGGATTGACGAGAGCCCCTTGGACTCTGGTAGGGTTCGCAGCACTCACTCACGCCGACACGCACACGCCGTTCGGCACGCACGGCAAGCACGCACTGCCGCACAGCAGGACGCACGCCACCGCACACGGCCACCTCACGCAACATCATGCACTGCACAGTTCGCGACGCAGCGCACAACACGATGCACGTAAGAAATGCTCTATGGCCCGCAGTGTAGTGTGTGTGTGTGTCGGCGCGTGAGCGCGTGCGTGCGTGTCTGCCTGTGTTGTACGTGTGCGTGTGAGCGAGCAGGGCAGTCCAACAGTACGTAGGAAGTTATTTTCATTGCAAAAGGTTATGCATTTGGCTACTGGACTGTGTTTTCGGGATTTGGATAAGATAAATGTTCTCAAGTGTCTGCCAACGCCGCCCCATATACCCGGATCCTAATCACTCACACAAAATAGAGAACCTTTACTATAGATATATTGTTATGATAGACTAATAATGATAAGAAATGACAAAAGAAGAATGAAGAAGACGAAGATGAATACCTATCTCTCAGGTTGGTACAACGGCTAATGCCAGGAAGCGACCGGCTAATGTCGTGATCTAGCTTATGAAATAAATAATAAGCAATAATATAATAAACTAAAGAATAAATAAAATAAATGAGGATTGAACATAATAATGAATGGCAACCCGCCGGATAGAGATGTGTCTTCGATAAAACGAATACCGCTCTCGTGATCTAGAGTAGCGAAACTCCCGATAACTGTGACATTATGGTCCGCAGCCGGACGTATGGAACGTGCCCTGATCGTCCAGGAAAGTTTGCCCTAACTATGGTTAAATAGTAAGATATCATTACGCATAATGAATAAGCCAATACCGAAAGTATACCAGCTCGCTCGTTCGCGCGGGCCAACCGAGAGGGCGCGTCCCTCATGATCGCCGAACGAAGCCTAGAAGGTCGAAAAATCGGACTTATTGAAGGTCCGGCAAACCTTAAAGCAGGCGTGGCGCACAGCGCAAGCTTCAGATAGCAACACAGAAGCGGACCGAGATCGCAATCTTAAGTTGGCACTAGATGAGCGAGCACAGAGACGGAGCCGCAGGCAGACAGTCCGACGACAACGCACAGAAAATAACCAACAACAAATACAAGGAAACGCAGTGGACAAAAAAGATGCAAATACAAGTGATGTGATGTGGTCCTATTATTTAGCACCAGAGAGGAAACAACACTGAGGCGGGGTAGTAAAGGTAACAATACACACACTACGATCTGACCGAGGCAGGAATGGACACAAAACATCTTTCCAAGCCACCAATTCAAGATATCTTGCTAATACCGAAAAAAGGAGTGGCAGATTATTAAGACAAGAACTCCCGATACTGAACTTGAACAGATTAGTGCAAGCTGTACGAAAGCAAGAATAATGGCACCGCAACACGACTTATCCCCACTAACACAAAGAGCAACCTGAAAGACGCTACAAGCCCCCAGAGCCCAAGGCTGAACAACAACGGAATGACCGCAGCATACGGATACCAATGAAGCTGAAAAGTCAGTAGTGGATATGGAAGAATCGAGAATCTCTAAAACTAAAGCTGCTTGAAACTCAGGCAAACTCGCGCCCCCCCGTGGATCAAACGCAGAAGCCTGAAAAGATTCATACTCAACAAGGCGCAGATCACGTCGCACAAATAAGTCAAAGCTGAAAAGCAAATCAGGCACCCGACTCAATATCATGACAACCGATAACCATCTAAACTTATCAGAAAATCAATGAATTAAATGTACACGATCTACGCTGCTGTTATTCGCTTGGAGAGACATGAAAGCAGAGAGTCACGAAAGCCCATCAGTGGGAAACCAACATGGAAGAAGAGAATAGAACAACAGAGATTCGGGAAAACCATCGGCAAGGGACCATCTCCATTCCTTTAGCCCAAAATAGGAAAAAAAGGTGTCACAACAAAACCAGTACATGCCAAGCCAACGGGACTGACAAGGCCAAGAGCATCTTATGCAGAGACGGCCGAAGGGGAGAATAAGAGCGTATGGCGAGCTCAGAAGCGGATAGAGGGAAAAGAGTACGAAGGAACTGAAGCGGTAGCAGGCCAAAGCTGCAGAGATTTCGAGAAGATTATACTAACGCAGCCAGCGAGTGCGAGGCACTAACTAAGTTATAGCGGGAGAAGTAAGCAATGCGTTCCCATGAAAAAGAATATAGCCGACACAAATTCTAGAAACGCAGGCAGGAGCGGGAGGCGCGGCATCTCCAACGAGCAGCAAAGCACCCATCAAGGAGCCTGCCTCTAAACGAGGGCGACTCGATCAATTCTGGCGTGGAATACTGAGGAGGTCGGCACAGGACCACAAATTAGCCAAAGCGACACTTGGATCCAAACAAGAGGAGGAAGCATTCCAAAATGTAGGCAATAGATGCAGTGGGAACTTAGAACATTACAATATGTGCGAAGTAGCACGCAGGCCATCAAAAAGTGGACACAACGAACTGGAAAGTCTCCTGCCCAGGAACACAGCTGCAACAACTTCTGGATTCGCATTTAAGTTCCGCTCCATATAACAACTAGACCAGGGCCTTGAATGACACCGATCAAAGGATCCGAAGCAAATAGTCCCTCGAGAGTGTTGACATCAGAGAATCAGACGTCTTCGCTTCTTTCAAAAGAAGAGCAAGAATACAAGAAACCTAAAAACTATCGACGGCAATTCACTTAGGCCTGCCTACACCTACAAGATTCCCAAAGCGCAGCCTTGCGCACATCACACCCGCCTCTAACATATGCGACTCTACAGAAGAGACCGACATTCTCCACAGATGAGGCAGAACGACTGTAGAAGAGCGTTATAGAGGGTGCAAAGACCAAACCTTCTCATTAAGTAGAGCATGATTTGTGAGGCATGGCAAAAAAAGCTTCAGAGGAACTAGGAATGAGCCGTGATTGATTATAAGAACAAGCCATTTCGACAAGTGATCGCCAACCGACATACATTACCTGGATTCTACAGCAGCCATGAAAAAATCTAAACCGTGTGTCACACCGACATCATTACCAGGCAATTCATAGAAAGCTACAATAAGGAAGATGGAGAAGACTAAAGCATGACTCACCATCTTCAACTCCCCAAGGAGCTAAGGCCTCAGTGACAGGAAGATATCTAGCACAAGAAGATGAATCTTGCCATCCCCCCACGAGGTAAACTCGCTCCAATCAGATCCTCCTAACTATGTCACACTGCTTAAGCACAAATACAAGCACCGGCTTACCAACGTGCGACTGAAGTAAGAACAGGGCGGCCTGGAGACTGTTACAGTCGTAGAACCCAGATATATCAAGCCCACCATGCACTACATGGATGAACCTTAAAACTGGTATCCACACAAGAAGCGAAATAAAATGAGTCTACGGCAGCAGGCCATGGTAGACAGTCAGACAGCAATTCAGATGATGACAATCAAGAAAATGGGGAGTTTGGCTTGGAGAAAAGTGCTGCCACCAGCAATCACGTTAAAAAAAGGTGGTAAAGGCTAAGTAAAAAGTACGGAATATTGGAGCTTAGATGAACAAAGACAGCCCTACAAAGAAGTCTAAACCACACGAGGACACTACAAATATTTGGTGTAGACGAAAGTGATGGTAATTCAGCCAATGAGCAAAGGATGAAGGAGAACATTGCTAGACTACGGAGTACTATCGCCGAGATTTCGCAGGCTAGTTTCGATCCAGAAGTCTAAGTGAGCACCTGCTCCAAAAAACACAGATAACTAGACGATCACAAATATGCAATGGCACT